TCATTAATTCAGAATGGCCACTTGGCAGGAAAGAAAAAACGTCCAAAAAATCGCACAAAAATATCTCTCTAAAGATGAAAATATTGATTTTGTAACATTTTCTCATATTTTTTCCATTTTGTCATATTTTTGGCATATTTTCATTTTGAATTAAACATTTGGTAATATTTCTACCACAAACAAAACTAAGTAGTTAGGATATCAGGATATCATATACAGATCGCATTCATAGCCCGATCCTTACGAAATTTTGCATGGGGATGGGATGACGGTCAGAATAGAAGCCTACTCTTTTTGGAGATGATCGCCATATATTTAGGGGTTGAAATGGACCAAAAAAACTGCAAAATTGTCAGCAGGTCGTAATTATCGCCCGATCCTCACGCACATTTGAATGGGGGTTACCGGACATTGCAAAAGCCAAGCAGTTTTGGATGGCCATCCAAAAATATTCAATGTGTGAAATAGTTTGCCAACTTTTGTAGACAAAATACGAAAATGTCCATTTCAGTGACTTTTTGGAGAATTCACAAATACAGGAAAGACGCACTTCTGACTATTTCGTTAACGCTGATTTCGTTGAAGAATATAGTCAAATGGGTGTATCTCATATAGATGCGTTTCAGTCAAAAACCAATAGTAAATGTTAATATTTTGCCACTTCTTGAGAGAAGGGTCTTTGGGAAATATTGGTTCCAGATCTAGGAAGACCATTTAAGTGCAACATCTACCAATAAATTGGAAATGAGCAAATTAGTTTAAGTTGCTATTATTCGAAAATTAGAGAACGAAACCTGATGGTTTTCTTTTATTATTTGTCACAATATCTTGTGGAATTCTTTCGAGTATCTCGCCAATATAAAATGTATCGTTTATTATAGTGTTGTAGGGTATTCAACGGTCGGCCCCGCTCGACTGTAGCCTTTGCTTACTTGTTTTCACATAAACTATTTTTCCATTATGCATTTTGTCCAGTCTTTACCACTTTAGGTCTTTGGTTAAGGACAAGGAAGAATTCCAGAATTTTGGATGACCATTGGATTATATTTAGCTGTAAAATGGACCACAACAAATAACAGCCCGAGGGAGTGCATAAATGTTGGGCAAATGTCCCTAGTCAAAATCCTAATTTCAAAAGCGAAATCTTACAAAATGGATTTGGACATAAGGGGGCTTCTAACATATTGTTGTAGGGTATAAGATAGTCGGCCCCGCACGACTATAGTCTTTGCTTAATTGTTTTTAAATATATATTTTTTTATAACCAGAATTTTCAGGGCGTCTAACCTATGAGAACAATGAACTCCAAGTTATCGATCGGGCACAATTTATTAGGTTACCTCTGATATTTGGAATTCAATATGTAAAGCTATTAATAGGAACTAATGTCTCCGGCTGACAATTTGCTATAGACCCACATCTCCGTCCATATTATGGTACTTCGAATATACTGTTCTTTGATAATTTTAGCCATAGTTTTCGATTAAATTGTCTGAAATTTGTTATTTGAAGTTCGTAATAGCTATCAATCCTTCCAAAAGTCTATACAGGGTGAGATAAAAAATGCAACAAAGTCAAACTTCATAATTTTTAATTTTTTTTTTAAATTTTATTGGAAATAGCATCAAATTTTAGAATAAAGGTGACCAATTCGAACGAATCTAAAGTTCGAATTGGTCACCTTCGCACGAATTATGGCCTTCAAATGGCCAATGAAACCGTCACACGCTGCTGGAATGTTGCTCTGCGGTATTTTAGCCCATTCCCGGCTAAGCGCTTGCTTGAGGTGATCGACACTTTGGTATTATTTAGTGCCAACCTTGCTTTCCAAAATACTCGAGATACAATAGTTCAACGGTTTGGTAAATGGAGATTTTTGAGGCCACTGTGCGCTGGAAATGAAGCGAGGAACCTCATTTTGTACTATCTTGGGTGGCATGTGATGAGTGCGTTGGTGCTGAGACCTGTTGGAATGTCCAAGGTCTGCCGCCAAAATGTTTGCGTGCCCAAGGCTTTAATACACCCTACTCGGCATTTATTCTGATGCCACGATCGATTAATACGAGCGGGGAGCGACCATCGGCTGTTATGACGGCCCATACTATCACCATGGCCGGCGCTTGAGTTCTGATGACCAACCCCTGACCTCTTTGCAAGTAAACACAATAATTTTCTTTGTTTACAAACTGCTAGACAACGAATGTTTTCTCATCGGAAAAAATCCACTGCGGCAGTTCACCACTTTTGTCCAAGCGAAGCTACTCCTTAGCTCTTTTGAGTCTATTTTCTTTCTGTAGCGGTGTAAGTTCTTGCACTTTTTGGAATTTCAATGGCTTTACCCCGAGCTCATTTTTCAATATTTACCGAATGGAATATTGTGATATGTTCAGCAGACTAGCGATTTTTCGGCTACTGCGACGCGGGTTTTGATCAAGTCGCTTCTATACTTTTGAATCATTTCTGCTGATGTTGCTGTCGAAACACAAAAGATTTATTCCCATTTAAATGCTGGATTGCTGTGCCGATAGCCATTTGTGGTTTTCCAGCCAAAGCCAACTCGAAAAGAATTTTTTGATTGTTTTTGTGTTTTCAAAATTTTGACCCTTTGTGGGGTTTAGGGCGATATATTCCACCATCACACCAGATTTTGTGTTAATAAAAATATAAATATGTGCCGTGTTTGAAAGTAATCGGATCATAATTATTCGTTTTACGAGTTTCATGGCCATTGAAAATTTTGAACCGTTGTGTGGGAGATACCAGAAGTAGTGGTCCGTTCTATCTAATTGGGATGTTTGAAATTTGAAGGCGATTGCCCTCTTATTTCACATTGTATAAGAGTTATAATTATTCCAAATTTTGACCCTTTCGCGTCATACCTAGCGCAAATAAAAATATTAATAATTGCAAAGTTTGCTCAAAATTGGAATAACGTGAGGTAAAATTTCAAAAATTCTGGAATGACCTTTGAAAAGTTTAAAATAACGAATATTGGATGGTTCACTCTTATGGGGCTATACGAAAATTTAGGCCTGTATGGCAAATTTCCTGACAGAGAAGGCGGTGCCTTTTTTAAATTCCAAATACAAATTTTGAACAATTCCATTTAAAAATATTTTCAAAAACGGCAAAATACCGAATATCGGAGGATACCATTATATGGGGGGTATACGAAGATGTGGACCTAGATAGGCATTATTATGGTGTTTAAAGCATTTTACACCTGTAATTTGACATTTTCCTTTCTCATAGGGTAGATGGTATAAACTTATTAGTATAGGTACCCATATAATTTTATTTTCTAATTTTCAAAATTTTTTAGGGCCTTAGCACCATTCCCTACCGATTTTGCTGAAATTTTGAGATTTAAATGGAACCTGGAATAAAATATTATTGTTATTTTTTTCGGAGTTTTTTTTTTGTCATGGCTAAGATATGCTGGCTTTGATGTGAAGACTTTTTACAACAAACAAGTAAAAAAGCAGTAAGTTCGGCCGGGCCGAACTTTGAATTCCCTCCACCATTTGGAACGAATTAGAAAATATTCAAAAAAATAAAATCCATTGAAAATTCTGTTAAAATCTTTAAAATACCTAATATCGGAAGGTGCCGATATATGGGGGGATATACGCTATTGTGGACCTATATAGACAAATCTATGTCTGGGGGTAAAGTACTCACAAAGAACTCCGTGTGTGGATTTTCAGACAATACGATTGGAAAATGTGGCTAAAATCATCAAAATACCGAATATCGCATGGTACTGTTATATGGGGGCTATACGCAATCGTTAACCTATATAGAGAATTCTCTGTCGTGGGTAAAGTGCTCAGAAAGAACCCCTTGTGTACAAATAATCCCTTGTGACCATTCCGTTGAAAAATATGGCTAAAAACATCAAAATACCGAATATCGGGGGTACCGTTATATAAGTGCTACACGATATCGTGGACCTATATAAATAATTCTCTGTCGAGGCATAAAGTACCCACAAGGAACTCCTTGTGTGGATTTTCAGACAATTCCGTTGAAAAATGTGGGTAAAATCATCAAAATACCGAATATCGGGGGGTACTGTTATATGGGGGATATACGATATCGTGAACCTGTATAGACAATTCTCTCTCAGGAGGTAAAGTACTCACAAGGAACTACTTGTGTGGATTTTAAGACAATTCCATTGAAAAATGTGGCTAACATTATCAAAATACCAAATATCGGGGGTACCGTTATATGGGGGCTATACGATATCGTGGACCGACATAGCCCATCTTCGAACTTGACCTGCCTGCAGACAAAAGAGAGATCTGTGCAAAATTTTATCTTCCTATCTTAATTCGTTTAGACTGTAGCGTGATTACAACAGACGGACGGACAGGGCTAAATCGTCTTAGAATTTTACGCTGATCAAGAATATATATACTTTGTTGGGTCTAAAATGATTATTTCGATGAGTTACAAACGGAATGACGAACTTAATATACCCTCCATACCTTTTTTGGTGGAGGGTATAAAAAGGGTAGGGTTCCAAAATGTCGGCCTTGTTGAGCGCATTTCTATCGTATTCCCTCCTTTTATGGAATGTCAATACCTAGCCATAAAATATTTATTATTGATTTGATTCTATTGTTTTGTTAAATCGTCTCTTTTTTTTGGGGATATTGTGGCTTTTGTTTCAAATGAAATTTAAATAAATTATTCTATAGCTTGTTTTCTATTCATCCATACGTATTAGTTGAATTATCTTTATTACCATTAATGCCATAAACGGCTTGACCAACATCTCTGATGGTGTGAGAAGTTCATATGAGTGTGCGTGTGTTTGTGTGCATATCATTTTATTTTTAAATCCCCACAAAAATAACTGAAACACAAAATCAACCAATCAAAAATGGATCTAACCAATATTGAATATTTTCTTTGGATTAAAACTCGAAAAAAAATATATTAATGAATAATTTGTTGTTTTTTTTTTTTTCATTTCTCCACCACACATTAAGCGTAACCAAAAGATTATCAGCTTTTGTGATCAAAATATGAATATTATTATTTGAAATCGTTGAATATATGAATTGATTTGAAAGAATGAATACACCTTTAATAAAGTGTTAAAAATCTGGTCATTTAAGCAACCAGCCGAAGGCAAAAAAAAAAAAAAAAACAAGTGAAACACATAAAAGTCAAATCATCAACAAAATATCAACCAAAAAAAGAAACAACAACAACAACAAAAAAGTGAATACCAGTTTTATGTTAAAACAGAAACATAAAGAAACCAACAACAAATACATGAAAACAAATTTCTTCAAATGCTCAACATTGGAAGCTGTTGCGCCAACAAAAGGATTTATTTATGTGGATATATTTCATTTTTATTAAACGGTGGAAAAATTATGTAAGTATGTCAGTGAAATATACGAAAATATAATAGAACCCCATTAAACAGAGAGATATATGATTATAGTGGAAAAAAGAATCTAGATAATATTGCATACTAAAATCGCCAATTAGCTGATAAGGCGAAACTTTTTTTTGGAGATAAATAAAAATATATATATTTTTTAATTTTATTAGCAAAGGACGTATTGGTAGTGAGAATAAATGATCAAGGGAAGGACGTATCGCCCAATGTACTTCCTATGTGTTCCCTAGGCCATTGCACAATTTTTGGCATTTAGGTGATGTGTAAGACATCTCTATGTAGACGCTAAAATTTATAGACGATTCCAGTTATGAAATGAATAATTTAATAATATAAACGTATAGCTTCCAAAAATCAACAAATTAAAAAGCAGTAAGTTCGGCCGGTCCTTACTTCAAATACCCTCCACCATTTGTAACGAGTTTTGAAATTTTCATAAAATAAAATCCGTTAAAAGTTCTGTTAAAATCTTAAAAATACCGAATATAGCCGTTACATTGGGGTCTATACGACGTGGATCTACATAAGCATTGTTTGTCATAAGCCATTACCATATTCAAATTCGAAACGTAAAATAAACGAAACGCTAAAATCATCAAAATACTGTATATAGGGAGAAACCGTTATATCGGAGCTATACGAAGACCTGGACCTGCATAGAAAATTCTCTGTCACAGGTCACTCTGTAGCACCCCTATGAACTTCAAATACCAAATTTAAAACAATTTGGTGAATACAGTTGCTAAAATCATCAAAATACCAGATATAGGGAGGTACCGCTATATGGGGGGTATAATAAGATGTGGACCTGCACAGACAATTTTCTGTCACAGACTGTAGTTTCCACTACGAACTCTAAATACGTAATTTGAAACTAATCCGGCGAATAATGACGCTAAAATAACCAAAATACCGAATATAAGGAGGTACTGATATATGGGGCCTATACGAAGACCTGGACCGGCACAAACAATTTTCTGCCTTAAGCTGCAGTATCCATTCCGAACTTTAAATACCAAATTTGAAACAATTCCGGTGAATAATGTAGCTAAAATCATCAAAATACAGTATATAGGGAGAAACCGTTATATCGGAGCTATACGAAGACCTGGACCTGGACAATTATCTGTCACAGGCTGTAGCATCCATTATGAACTTCAAATACATACAGAATATAGGGAGGCACTGATATATGGGGCCTATACGAAGACCTGGACCATTACGAACTTTAAATACGTAATTTGAAACTACCTCGGCGAATAATTCCGCTAAAATCATCACAATACCGAATATCGTGAGGTACCATTATATGGGGGCTATACGAAGACGTGGACCTGCCCAGATAATTTTCTGTCATAGGCTGTAGTATCCATTTCGAACTTCAAATACCAAAGTTGAAACCATTCCGATGAATAATGTCGCTAAAATCATCAAAAAACCGAATATCGGGAGGTACCGTTATATGGACTTACGTGGACCAACATGGCACATTTTCTATGCCAAAAGTACTGCAAATCAATCTATTTCATTTCGTTCGGAGGCTAGAGTGATTTCCACAGACGGACGGACATCGCTAAATCGACATAGAATTTTATGCTGATCAAGAATATATATACTTTGTGGGGTCTACAATGTATATTTAACGGAATGACAAACTTTATTTACCCTCCATACTATGGCGGAGGGTATACAAATGTCGGAAATAGCATCAAATTTTAGAATAAGTTTAGATTTGTTCGAATTGGTCACATTTGGCGCGAATTATGGCCTTCAAACGGCCAATGAAACCGTTACACGCTGCACGAATGTTGCTCTGCGATATTTTGACCATTTCTCGGCGAAGCGCTTGCTTGGGGTGATCGACACTTTGGTATTTTTTAGTGCCAACCTTGCTTTTCAAAATACTCCAGACACAATAGTTCAACGGATTGGTGTCCGGAGATTTTGGTGGTCATTGTGTGCTGGAAATGAAGCGAGAAACCTCATTTTGGGTAGCGCGTGATGAGTGCGTTGGTGCTGAGACCTGCTGGAATGTCCAAGGTCTGCGGCCAAAATATTTGCGTATCCAAGGCTTTAGTACCCCCTCTAGAATATTTTCGCGATAATATTCGGCATTTATTCTGATGCCACGGTCGATTAATACGAGCGGAGAGCGAACATCGGCTGCTATGGCGCCCACACCATTGCCGGCGCTTGAGTTCTGGTGGTCAACCGAAGGTGTACATTTTCAGCCTACCTCTTTGGCAAGTAAACACGGTCATTTTGTTTGTTTACAAACTGCTGGACAACGAATGTTTTCTCATCGAAAAAAAAAAAACAAATTCGGCAGTTTACCACTTTCGGTCAAGCGAAGTAACTCTTAAGCTCTTTTGAGTCTATTTTCTTCCCGTTGCGGTGTAAGTTCTTGCACTTTTTGGAATTTCAATGGCTTTACCCCGAGCTCATTTTTTAATATTTGCCGAATGGAATATTGCGATATGTTCAGTTCATGAGCCATTTTTCGGTCACTGCGACGCGGGTTTCGATCAATTCTGCTGATGTTGCTGTTTTCTTCCGTCCATTTCCTTGAAGTCAGGCTACGCTACGAAGTCAGTATCACGATAACGAGCGATGGTACGAGACACAAAGGATTTATTCACATTTAAATGCTGGGGTGCTCTAACGGTAGTCACTTGTGGTTTTCTAACCAAATATAAAGAAATCACACAATCACGCTCGAATTCCATCACGAATTACTTTTTTTCTGGAAAATTCTCACCAAAATGCATTTGTATGCTTGTAAACAATATAATGGGCTGTCACTTGAATAATTTTAATAGCTATCGGGCGAGTAGCTTAGAAATGACAGCAGTCTGAAATTGGTTGCCTTTTTTTCATCTCACCCTTTATTATGAATTTCAACTAATTGTAGAATCGTAGCATATCGAATCTCTCTTTTGCTGATGTCAACGTTCTAGCCTATATCAGTGGGTCAATAACAACTTTGTACCTCTTGACACTTGTCGAAATTGAAATTTATAAAATTCTACCTTATTAAGCAGTTTTAGCTCCTACCACTACCACCATTTTCACTAAAATTGACTCTTCATGAAAAATTTTATAGTTTCCTTCCAATTGTTGTGCCTTTTAGTACATTTCGGATGTACTCCAGGTATTTTCAGAAAAGCCGTTTTAACTAACTTCTCACCTCATGCATGCTTTGTACCTTTTAGGACAAATGCAGCTTTATTTTTTCCCTATTGCAGCGAGAGCTACAGTCGTGGCAAATCTAGTTGTACCTTTTAATTCTTTTTATACCCTCCATCGTACTATGAAGCGTAACACCTCGAAATATACATTTTAAGCCCCACAAAGTATATATGGCGATGCTAGCGATGTCTTTACGTCTGTCCGTCCGTCCGTCCGTCTGTGGAAATTTTACTCAGACTTCTGATTGCAGTGCAGATAGGTCTAGGTATTCGTATAGTCCCCATAAATCGGTACACCCCTATATTTGGTATTTTGACAATTCAAAAACGATGCTCACCGAAATTGTTTTAAACTTCGTTCCTAATGGGTACTACAGCCTGTGACAGAAAATTGTGTATGCAGGTCCAGGTCTTCGTAAAGACCCCAATTGAAACGGCAACATTCTATATTCGGAATTGTAAAATTCCAAATTCGTTGGAAATGATTGAGGGTATTCAAAGTTCGGCCCGGCCGAAATTACAGCTTTTTTACCTGTAGTACCTTGAATGTACAAATTTGCTCAAATTTACTCGAAAAGCTCAACAGCTATATTGTAACTTTTAGAATTGTTCGTACTCTAAGCCAGGAACACTAGGATCGACCCTCATTCAAAATTCATAAATATCAAATTAATTATTACCCAGGAGTCCTCAATATTGAATTTGAACTTCCAAGCTCTATCCCTTCACCCAATATAAAATTTTGTACTATTTAGTACAATTCATACAATTAAAGTACACATTTTCAATCTATCGCCAAATCTCAAACAAAGATACCATCAGTAATCTGAATGATAAATTTCAGGATTTCAGCTCTATTCCATCGTCCAAAACTAAGTTTAGAATTACAGGGTGAGATGAAAAAACTGCAACCAACTTCAGACTGCTGTCATTTCTAATCCATTCGTCCGACGGCTGTTAAAATTATCCCAGTGACAGCTCATTATATTGTTAACAAGCGTACAAAAGCATTTTGGGGGGAATTTTCCACAAATTTGCTCAAATTTACTCGAAAAGCACAATAGCTATATTGTAACTTTTAGAATTGTTCGTACTCTAAGCCAGGAACACTAGGATCGACCCCTCATTCAAAATTCATAAATATCAAATTAATTATTACCCAGGTGTTTAGATAAAAAATGTCTTAGCACCCTGCACCCAAATAATGACTCAATCGAAAATATCATTATCATGCATTGCAATGACACCCCCCCCCATTTTCAGCATTTATTCGAATTCATTCGATTTTCATTGCTAAATTCAATAATTGTTTATAACTTTTGATTGAAGCCTTTATTTTTCTGCTCTAATTAATTGAACAATTAAGAGTTACTGTTTGCGTATCGGTGTGTGTGTGTGTGTGTTTGTGTTTGCCTATTTGTCGAGATATTTGAGTGATTGTGCCGTGCCATTCAGTCGCCGACTACTGTTCATTGCGGCACTTAACTCGCTCAACGTAATGACATTGCCGCGAATTGCAAAGCAATTTGTTTGTAAATAGCGATGCAACAAGAACTAGAAGCGATTCCGAAAAATAGAATAGAATTAAAAAAAATGGAAGTCGAGTAGAGAAAAAAGGCGGCAAAAAACAAATAAGTTTTTGCGCTGCTTGGAAAAAAAAAATATTGCAGATAAAAATTGTGTTGTGACTTAGTTTGTTTTTGATAGTTTAAAGGCTTCAGTTTGAAGTGAGAGTACTATACGAATATAATATGTGTCATGCTTATGTTACATGGACATCAGATA